TTGTGTCTGCCGCCGAGATCTCCATTGCACCCTCCGCGGATTTCTTGAGGTGCTTCGACGCAATTCCAGTAAAGGGGCCTGCCTCGCCGTTTAGCTTCGTGCAGTGAGCCTCGGCAACGGCAAAAACATCGTCCCCCACCGCAACAAGGCTGGGGACGCGGAGGGAAATGACCGATTGAGCAGCGACCCCAACGCCCTCCCACGCAGCACCAGGGATCTCCGTCGTCCCCGCAAACGGATCAACGGCATCCCCTTGGTTACTGGCAGACGCGACACTGTTGCCGCAGCACATCAACAGCACGCAAAGAAGGAGCAGCAGCGCCGCAGCGGAAAACAGATGCCGAGGCATGTGGGGTCAATCGTTCTCTTCTTTCCTCCTTGCGGTGGTTCCGTGCAGGCCGCGAGTGTTGTGTGTGTGTGTGTGTGTGTGTGTTGTGTGTGTGTGTGTGGGTGTGTGTGCTGAAGCGACTTCGGGGCCTTCAAGGCGCACAGCGGCGGCAAGCAGCGTTTGGCCTCTTTTTTCTTCGGCGTGGGAGAAGAGGGCGAAAGAAAAGAGAAAAAAGCCAGCGCAGAAGGGCGTGTCGGCACACCGGCAGAAGTCCGAGTTAAGAGCGGCGCGGCCCCACACCGTGGCGGCGGCGGGCATCGCCCGGACCGCAGGAGAAAAGAAGAAAAGACGACGGAGAATAGAAATGACTAATCCCCGCAGGAACCCCCAAAATTAAGGGGAAAAAAAAGGAATTACTTCGGCAGGTGCCGTTTCTTTAACTCACGCGTCCAGCAGCACAAGAGGACTGTGATGGTGTGTGTATATTTTAACACCTGCACGAAGAAAAGAAAACAAAAACATCTCCCGTGCTGCATGAGCCCACACATCCCTCGCACATTTCCTGCGGAGTTCGGCCTGCGCTTCAGCCCATCAGTTGCGTCAAAATCCGTGCGACGCACAGCAGTGCGGCCGGCACCGCGTGGTTGTGTGTGTGTGTGTGTGTGAGTGGGCGGCAGCAGCAAAGAAGAGGGGGAGGAGTGTGCGCCGCCCATAGCAGTGCGTATAGCAAGCGACCATTAGAGAAGCAAACAAAAAAAACATGGGTTGCTGGTTATTCCAGCAAAGCCCAAATAGGAAAGAAGAAGGGGAACAGGCAAAAGAAGGAAAACAAAAAACAGGATATATAAATGAAGAGACCCGCATGGGTCGCAGCGCGCACTCTCCACGAGAAGTTACAAATCCACTCTCCCTCTTGCATTCAGCAGAGAGCCGTCGTGCCCCACAGCCCCAGCAGGGCAAGCAGCAGCAGCAGCCGAGACACACACCCACGCACAGCGCCGTCGCCGCCGCCAGCCTCCCTCTGCACTGTGCCAGCAGCCCCCTTTGCAAGTGCGGCGGAGGCGTTGTTTAGGCCCGGCGCCGACGCATCCTCTTCTTTCCTCTCCAGCGCCGCAACCTCACTGGCGTCGAAGCAGCGGCTGTACAGCAAGACGTTCGTCACCGTCACGTGGAACTCTGCGTTTTCCTCGTCGTACCTGTATTCCCCAACGAAGATGTGCGAGACCCTCTCCGGCGGCCTTTCGCGCGGAGGTCCGTCACTAGGAAGCGGAGGCGGAGGCGGAGGCGGAGGCGGAGGAAACGCATCTGTAAACGGAGGTTTATTCTCCAAACTCCCCACAAGCCGTCCGTCGACGTACGCCGAGCCGCTGCCATTTTTCTCCGTGAGCACCACTCGGTATGCCCTTCCCTCCTCCCACGTCATTGTTTGTGCACTCGCTCCTTCCGTCCCGAACTTCGTCTTCCAGCGCTTGTGCTCGTCGTACCACAGCCCCAGATACGACCCAGTGGGCATCGTCATCACGCCCAGCAGTGGGGTGGCGGTCAGCGGCGCCTTGTTGATGGTCACCGTCGCCACAAGAGTCACCTCTTCGCCCGCAGAACCGTGCCCTGGGCCATGCCCGTCTCTGTCCACCGGCCACGCAATCTGCGCACCCCGCCCTGCCAGCGCAAAGCCATTGGCAACCTTCTTTGCTTCTCCAGACACCGTAGCGCCCGCCCCAAGGTACTCGTCCTTCC